AGTAATGATAAAAATTATTATGACACCTTGGATAAGCTGCCATGACACGTGTTTCGTCCGGGCAAAGGGACTCAACAGAGGGCAAATTAGCACTAGAGAATGTCAATGTGAGAGACTTGTGTTAGATTTTGAGGAAAGCTTGGTATTTATGTAGGTTTTTAAAGGAAGAGGTTCTCTTTGCAATGGCTCATGTATTTTGCAAGTCTGTTTCGTTCCGTTAATGGGTGAATTGGGGCTCCTTCTTATGCGAATGTGAGTGTTATGTACCTAATACTAATATGAAAATTGGTATTAACGCAAGCGAAGATTCTTTCTGTGAAGATACGTAGCGGAATTTCATAATATATACATTATTGGGTAGATAAAGGTTTCGTCTAGGAACGTACAATATATTGTGTTCTGTAGTGAAAAATCACTTTGAAGGTTATAGTCGGCTTTAGTCTTAACGGATTTTGGTTCTGATTTTGTTATTTTGGTTCTTCGCATGGCTTGAAGGTTTATTTCTATGGGCAGTGTTTCTCTTTGTTGGATATATTAATAGTTGGTTTTGGGGCTGTCTGGCTTTCCTCGTATATATGTAGTCTGTTTTAGAATGGTTTGGATGGATATATATGTTAGGTTTTTCCTATCTTTTATTTTTTACTAAATGATATTCGAATAGCGGAGCTTACATGCTGATTCTTTGTCAGTGTTTATGAATGTTTTTTGTTTGTGATTGCATTTGGTTCATGTTGTTTGATTGGTTGGTGATGGTTTTGTGCTGTATTCATGGCCTCATTTTGTTGATGTTTTGGTTTTCGTTTTCGGGTTCCTAAAACATAAAATTATTATTTGTGGCCTTCGAAATAGAAGGCATGGTTTTTTGTTTATAGTCATACTTTGAATATTGTTGTTCTGGAGTAGGTGTTTTTTGGGTCGTTTTCGAATTAATTGATGTTTTGTGGCACGACGATTACGATTGCCGACTATCATTTTGATATGTTCGACTGGTGTATCTTTGAAAACCTTGTCGTATATTCTATGCATGTCTTGTTTCATTGAATGAAATCGTTTTTCATGTGTGTAATGTATCAGGATTTGATCAGCATACGGAAGTTTTTTAGCAGGATTTTCTTTTCTTGTGTCTGTGCTTTCAGGATTGATGTCATCGGTTTGATCATTATCAAGGTCGGCTGTTGCCGCACGCATTGCTACTTGTGACGCTCTATATGTTGGAAGGCCTAAGAGTTTATTGTGCATCATGAAGAATTGTTTTTCATTGTCAATAATAGGTAGAAATGATGTTGTGTTTATATATTCATAAAAGAACTTATGAAACTCTTTGTCAATAAATGTCGATGGATACCTGTTTGTTCACATATTAATGGTATTTATCATATTCCTTAAAGACAAATGGACTCACCCATTGTAAAGTAGCGATAATTGTATGCAGCGACGTTCATTATTGAAGATTTCCAATGTAGATGAGTATCGTGCAGCACGTGCTAGACTAGTTTGTATAACGTTGACGAAGACATGTCGAGGATGATCAGATAGGAATGGTACAACATAAGGTTCTGCTGCTGGCTTATGGTATACCGATGTTGTTAGAATACCATTATTGTTGGTAAAAAAAACATCAAGAAATGGAAGATTTTTACCGATTTTATATTCTAATTTAATATTCGGATGCCAAGTATTAGCCTGATGTAATAAATCTTGCAATGTTTCTTCTGATTTATTCCAGGTCATAAATATATCATCAATATATCTAAAAAAGAAGATTAAAAAATAATAACTTATCTCTGATTTTTCTTCGTCTACATACCGACCGTAAAATTCGCCTGTCATGTCTTGTCGTCGAACGAGGTCTTTTTGCCATTTCCACATGAATATATTTGCTAAGCTCAATGTAAATGATGAACCCATAGCGCCACCAAGTACTTGTTGGTAAATTTTGTTGCCATACACGAAAACATTTTCTTTTAAGATAATAGCAGCTAATTCACGAATTGTTTTAAGATCAATGCCTTTGACTTTCGTGTATCCATAGAATTGAAGAAATTCAACCAAAATATCAAGTGCTTCTTCTTGTGGTAACATTGTATATAAATTACGAATATCAAATGTACAAAAAAGTGTTGTTGATTTGAAGAGACCTTTTTTGATATACTTAAGCAATTCTTTGATTAAAGAAGTTCCATCGATAATAGTTGTTGAAGCACATTTATCATCAAATATAGGCCGTATAATTGTATCTAAAAATTGTGATATATTTCTGGTTGAAGAATGAATGGTACTTTCAATGGGTCGAACTGGTATATCTTCCTACAAATGTACACATCGAAAAGAAAATGCTAACAATATTCATTCAATAAAATCGATATTACCTTATGAGTTTTTGGATTAAAATACAAATGTGCTAGCTCAGAGTTGTTTCGATCAGGCATCATTTTTTTATATTGCCATTCCAGAATAAGTCGTTTTGAACGTAATCGATTGAGTAATTGAATAACTTGATCTTGAATTTGATTGAGTGGATTTATTGAAATTTCAATAAAAGCATTTGTTTCTTGAAAAAATTTTTCGCCTTTCTGTTCGAATTCACCAGCTGAACCAACATAAAAATTATTACCCTTATCAGTAAGACGAAGAATGAGATTATTTTTCTTGAGTTTTTCTCGAATGGATGCAGTCATTTGCGCTTGTTCGAACGCTTCAATTTGTTCTTTGGATGATAATGGAGTAAAATAAGATCGATTAAAATGATCGAAAACTTCATTGGAATACTCTTTCAAAATAGATGATTTTGGTGGAATATGATGATATTGATTAAGATGACCTTGAACTTTTTTCGTAATTTCTTCATGCTCATTTTTAATTTCAGCTTCTTGTTCTTCTACAGGACGAATGGCACTTTGATTTAATCGTATAAAAGATGGGCCTAAAAGTAAGAAAGACAATGGAAATTTCTTTGAACGAAAAAAGATAAATTTATAACCAAGACAAAGATAATTCCATTCACGTTCATTAAATGGATTTTTCAGTAAATCAAGATATGGTTCAGGAGAGACACGAATGGTATTCTTTGAAGATACTGAACGTTGACGATTTTGAAGTAATACGTATCGATAAGATGCCACATTACGTCGAATATCACTTTTTAATTTTGTCGTTTGAGAAGTCATATATTCGTTTAGATGATTGAAAATGGCGCTGCCATTGATAGTTGTATCATTGAATAAGAGTGATTTTAATTCAGACCATATAGATTGATATTGTTGATCATATTCTTGTAGTTTAACTTCATAGGCTTTGAGAGCAATATTAAGCCATATACGTTTTGCTTCTTTAATGATTTTCATACGATTATTCTTCACTTGAATTGCAATTCTATTCTGAATGATGGGCGAATAAATATTAGGTGAAATAAATTGTTCTAATTCATTAAAGTTTGGTGATAAAAAATTACATAGTACTCGCATGTACAGTATCAGAAGTTCGTCCCAAATTTCTCCTTGTAGATTTCGGATTGCCATTAATTTATTCAGATAGTCCATCTAAAGAAACATGAAATAATAGGAAAAAAAAATAACAATCGTATGAAGAAACTTACATGGTCAAATGTCAAATGATATTGACTTATAGTTTGAAACAATTGTTGTGTTTGTAGATCATCTTTGAATTTAGTTAATTGATCATTATTTCTTAATGTTACATATTGTCGTTCTTTTTCAACGAATTCTTTCATATGTGAATCAATTTGTTCTAAGGGTAATGTTGCAACTGGACATGATTGTGTTTCTTCTTTTAGTTTCATTTGACACGAATTGAGTTCATGATCGATTTCTTTTATATAATTGATAACATATTGTCGACAGAGTTCAAAATCAGTCGTCTTTGTCATGTTATATAGTTGATTCTATATTGTCATGTGAAGAGGAATTATCGAAAAATGATTTCAAAGAAGAAAACTTACCGGCCATAGACGATATTCTAAACCAATCTTTAGATATGATTGCCATAATTGTTGATCAACTGTTAAACAATATTGTTGGTCGAATAACTCGAGTCGTGCACAAAGAAAATCTCGTATAACTTTGCCCTTCAATGGATAGTCTATTAATTTACTGAGCCGTTTAAAAAATCTCGGTAATAATCGTTTCAAATACATCAGTCGTCTATATAAATAAACAAATAAAATCTATGAATAAATAGAAGATAAAAACCTGTTAACCAACCGATATTTTCTATTGTTAGTATTGTTATCACTTTGTATTGAAGAATTAAGTATTGTTTTATTTTTTTCCTTGATTTTTTTCGATAATGGTTGACAAGTAGATGATTGACTTGTTGATCGTACTAATGTTGAATTGGATTTTAATTCTTGTGACGTGATGTCTCTTTTACGTTTATTTGGATTGATGGACGTCGATTTCGAAGAATTATTAATATCAGTTGTGTGTTGGTTAGATTCTGTTGTTTGCATATTCGTATGATTTGTATTATTATGATTTTGGTTTTCCGCTTGACGTCGTTTCATAAGTAACTTTTCTATGATTTTTGGTTTCATGCCTTTTGCACGACATTTTCTTCGAAAACGTTGATTACGTCGATTACCATGACATTTTTTTCGTGGTACATTAGTAGGAAATTGTTGATCATTGTTTGAATTAGTATTGTTAGGATTCATTTTAAAATCTTTAATCTTTCAGTAATCGTAAAATTCAAAATTTATCTAAAAGAATAACGAAAAAAGATATACAGTAAAAAAATTGCTACTAAACTAATTTCAAAAAAAAAATATAATATAATGTTTTTATTTATTTCAAAATTATTAGTTATGTTTAACACAAATAGATTTTGCTTTAAATATGTATGTACATTGAATACGGTCACCTATTTTATTACAACGTTGTTCGATAAGATCGATCATAAATGGCGATATTTTTTCATTATCACAAGAAGAGCGTCGGTCATACCACAGTTTTTTCATATCAGTATCGAATTTCTTCTTACATTCATCCATTTGAATTTTTGCTGACTTCAAATAGAGATTGAACATATCTAGTCTTGATTGTTTAGCAATTTCCTTATATTGATTGAATAATTCCTGTCGAATATTCGAATCTTGAATAGAATCAATTAATTCTGATTGACATATTGATGAGCATTCAAATGATTGACACGGTGAATTGTAATAATTAATTTTTTGTTGAAGTAAATCAAATTCTTGTTTTGTAAGTTCTTGTTCATATTTACTACAACAAAGTTGTTTCATTAATTGTTCCTAAAAAAAAGAATCCGTAAATTAAAAAAGATTTTCGTTTTTTTTTAGTTTATCTACATATACTTGATATTCATTTGGATTTTGGCGATAATATTCTAATTTTAACGCTTCAATATAATAATCATAATGGATAAGTTCAATTTTATGTTCAATTTCCATACGAAAAGAAGACAAATTTTGTTGAATATATGTTTCAATCAATTGTTGAAGTTGTAATGTATAACCATGAAAACTATTTGTTTTCTGATTCAATTCGGTTTGATATTGTTTTAATTGATTATCTAGTTCATGTAGTTTATTACTAATAAAATTAATATAAATGTCGTTTTCATTCGTTGCATTCATTTTAACTAATTTTTGTATCATGATTTTAATTTCTTTGGGCCATATAGGTAAATTCGTAGAATAGTTTGGTTGTTTTTCCGATTGAATCATAAGTTGTCCCGTACCTGATTTTAAATAAGTGGTCCATAGAGAATAATTAATTTCAATGAACATTAATTTATAGATTAAAATGGCTATTTGTCGTAATTCTTCTTTTGTTTTATTTGATATTTCCATTGTTGCTGTTGATATTAATTGATGTATCATTTGTTTGAAAGATTTATTTCGTTTTGTTAAAAAGTCTGGAATTTTGATAATTTCATCCGTAATATCTTTTAGCGTTGCTGACTCTTCTTTATTTGTTGTTATAGATAATTGAGTAAATTTTTGGGATAAAATTTGGTGTTCCACTGGCTAAAAGTAATGAAGAAAAAAAAAGGAATTTCATGTAAATTTATTCAACATTACTAACTTTCACTTTTTTTGGTATTGTATCCATATTGTTTAAAGCAAACCCGTCATTCCATTCCATTTTGTCGATATTATTCTTATCAATATCACTTTGATTTGTATTGAGTCCATTTGTAATATGATGCTTGAACAGAGACAATAGTTTTATGTAGATAATTAATTTTTTTTTTGAATCATTTACCTTTTCTACATAAGCTGTTGGATGACTATGATTTCTTATTTTTTGACCATTCATTTGCGTTATCATTTTCCGTACTTTTCAGTGTAATATCCTACAAAAAAAGATTCTAAAGTGTCATAGAAAAATAAAACTTGAAACTTAATAAAATATCTCTGATACGTTTGCTAATTTCATATACTTCCACATATATACAGAGAAATTAATTTCATGGAAATACAAAGCTATTACATATAAAATAATACAACATGTAGATAGATGAAATGAGAAAAAAACTGGATCGCAAAAAATCAAGGCTAAGAAAAAAAGTTATAAACGATGCTACACAAAAATCAAACATTCATTTTATTAATATTACTTTCGAAGTATTGGAACAACTTATTACATACTTAAATAAATGTGAAAGCGAAGAAATATCGTCTTTCAATTCTCGAGGGACAAGATTAAGATGAAACACTAACTTGAATATGAACATACCTAATTGAAGTGGTGGAGAATGAATGCAGTTGATCTTGTTAGTCGGATATTACAGTAGAAGAATCGATGTTGCTGCTGTTGTGTTAATCGACGAAATGAAACATTCACAGAAGAGAATGACTATATATACTAAATGGCAATGCAAAGTGGAACGTCCTAGGACAGATCACGGTATAAGAAGAGAGAACGAGGAAAAAAAAGACATACTACGGTATAAGAAGAGAGAACGAGAGAACAAGACAGACCACGGTATATTTGAATAAACGATAATGTTAGGACATACCACGGCATAGGAAGAGGGAACGATAGAAAAAGATAGACCACGGTATATTTGAACAAACGATAATGTTAGGACATACCACGGCATAGTCTATATATCACTGTATATAGGGACAGACCACAGCATAGTC